GTTCTAACGAACTCATATTTTTCTCCATACCCTAACTACTCATTCAAATCCTTGGATTCACCGTGAAGACCGAGGAGGAGCTTCGGGGAAGGTAGGGAGGAGGCCGGCAAGGGAGGGAAATTCGGTGGCCGGCCGTGGGAGAGCCGGGAGGCAATGGTGCGGCGGTGCGGGCTGGGAGACGCGGCGGCGGGGGCTGGGCGGCACGGAGGCGGCTGTTGTGCGGCGCGGAGTAAAACAGAGAGGGAGGAAAGGAACTGAGCCACGGGCCTCTATTTGGCTCTGCCGTGCCCTGACGGGTGGCGCGTCACAGCCGCGTCCTGATCGGTGGCGCGGCAAGGCCTGCCACGTCAACGACCAGCGGGGCGGGACGTTGCCACGTACGCACCCTTGCTACGCTACCATGCATGGCGCGGTAGAGTTGTTTTGCCGCGTCGTGCAAACAGGCGCGTCCAAAAGTATTAGTTTTGAAGAAGAAAAAAGAGTGTCAGTTTTAAAAATAGTTTAAAAAATGTGTTAAAAATAATAAAAAAATTCTCTATGCGCAGCACTTCGAGGGGACCATTGACAAGAGCAAAATGGAGGCCATCCAGATCCTTATTGAGCAGGGTGCCAAGAAGCAGCAGAACACCGTCCAGAAGACGGTGGCCGCGCAGGTGGGACTGGAAGCCTAGAGGGGCCTCCAGCTACAGTTGAAGCAATCTTAATGTTGTTCCCTCCATCCAAAGGGAGTTGGGCCGTGTGCCCATTGTATCGTAGAGACCTTAATTATGTTGAACTTCTTGATCTTACGTTGGACTGTAATGTTCAGACTTGTACCTTGGGGGAGAACTGTCTTGCATGCTGGCTCTGTTGCCTTCGGCCACCCCCTATTTCAGTTGGCTCGACTGTGTGCGATGCTTGCAAGTTTCAGTTGGTTTTGCCACAGTGCACCCCATGCGACTTGGCAAACAGTAGCTGCATCCTTTGATCAATGTTAGTAAAGGATTGCAATATTATCTGTTGGAATGTACGAGGTCTAAATGACGGGGCTAAGAGAGCAAGTGTACGTAACCAAATCATCTCCTCGGGGGCCACTGTGGTATGCCTCCAAGAAACAAAAATTACATCCTGGACGCATTCTCTGCTTGTTGAAACAGTTGGGGCAGACATGGCATAGAATGTGGTGTTTCTACCTTCTATGGGAGCATCTGGAGGGATTTTAATTGCGGCCTCGGATCGTTTTTTCAGATTACATAGCCACCATGCTACGGCGAACACAATCTCGGCAAAAATCACAATGTTGGCGGAGAATATAGAATGGTCCATCACTGGAGCCTATGGTCTACAGGGAGACAATGAGAACAATTTTCATGCAGGAGATCACAGACCTGAAACAACACATGCTCCCTGCATGGCTATTGCTTGGAGACTTCAACTTAATCTATCGCGCCCAAGACAAGAACAACGAACGCATCATCCTGACACTACTTAACAATTTCAAGTCCACGATTGATAATCTGATTATGGCACCGATTGAACTTAAAGGAAAGAAATACACTTGGTGCAACGACCAACAAACACCAACAATGACAAAAATCGATCACATATTCGCCTCGGCCGAATGGTTGGACATCTTCCCAAGAACAGACCTCCATGCGCTTGCTTCCCTAGGTTCTGACCACTGCCCTCTTCTCCTACAAGGGGACGTGGTTTTTATTTCTACAAGGGCTTCAGATTTCAAGCTTTCTGGACCAGCTGCCCAGGTTTTTCTGAAACAGTCCAAGAGGCATGGAGCAAACCGGTCAATACACAGGATGCAATTCTGCGTGTCCACGTCAAACTGCTACGAACTGCGAAGGCACTGAAGAAATGGAGGCGAAGACAATTTAGTGGCTGGAGAATTAGTTGGGAAATTCTCAATATCGTTTTATCCAACTTAGAGAGGGCACAAGAGGCGAGGATTCTCACTCCCGATGAACTGGAGTTCAAGCAGTACCTAAAGATCAAAGCACTGGGAATTGCGGCAATGCAAAAAGCTAGAGCGCGGCAACACTCATAAGACTAACATGGATTCGGAAGGGTGACACAAACACCCGTTTTTTCCAACTTCATGCCAACGGAAGAAGAAAAAAGGCCTATATCAGTTCTCTGAATCATCAAACGGGGACAGTAATATCTCAGAATAAAAAAATCAAATTTGGTCCATGAACACTTCTCCAAAGTCATGGGGACTCCAGCAACAAGAACCAAGGCTATCAACTGGCATATGAACTAGGATATGTGCACCACGATCTGGAGGATCTGGATGTCCCTTTTACAGAGGAGGAAATTGAATCGGCAATAAAAGAAATGCCATCAGAAAAAGCGCCGAGTCCGGACGGATTTATAGGCCTTTTTCTACTGTCTACGGACGGCAAGACTGAATCTCATCAACGAGGCAAAATATAGTATTGTTGCCTAAGAGCCAAGAAGCTTAGTCTCATAAACAGTGTAGCAAAAATAATAACAAAAATCCTAGCTAACCGGCTGGCCCCTCACATGAATTCCTTGATGTCTAATGCTCAGAATGCTTTCATAAAAAAAAAGATGCATACATGATGTAGAAAACTATCTATATATACTGCAATGCAATTGAAATTCTATCTAAGAAGAAGAACAAGTCATACAACTTCTCCACAAAAGAAAGAAGCCGGCTCTTTTCATCAAGTTAGATATCTCCAAAGGCTTCTATTCTATTAGGTGGAGTTTTCTGCTAGAAGTTACGGAAGCACTGGGATTTGGTAGAAAATGGAGAGACTGGATAGCAACCTTACTACGAACCTCGTCTTCAAGGGTACTAGTTAACGGTTAGCCGACTAAAGAGATCAAGCATGCACGTGGCTTGAGGCAGGGGATCCCCTATCCCCGCTGTTATTCTTCCTAGCAATAGATCCGCTGCAGCGCATTATCGAAGACGCAGCCCAAAAAGGAATCCTAAAACCAGTGCTCCCAAAGGCGGCCAATTTACGTTGCTCCCTCTATGCAGATGATGCGGCCATCTTCGCTGACCCATCGGCCTTGGAACTCGATCGTCTCTAAAAAAATTATTGATCTTTTTCGGATATTGCTCTAGGCTCAGAATTAACATTTCCAAGACAGAAATATTCCCCATTCAACTTGGCAACGAGGCTGTAACTCAACTTCTACAAAATTTCCCAAGCAAATTTTGCAAATTTTCTGGGAAATATCTTGGACTTCCCTTCACATTTGAAAGTTGCGCAAGATCGACATCCAGCCATTGATAGATAAGATAGGAGCAAGATTGCCTGGTTGGAAAGGAAGATTTCTATCCGCATCCGTAGGGAAACATTGGTCAAGACAGTCCTCTCTTCTCAACCCATCTATCATATGACAGCCTTCCCAGAGCAAAAATGGCTAATCCAAAAAATCGATCGTTTGCGAAGGAGCTTTCTTTGGAGAAGAGAAACCCCGGACAAAGTGTACGGTGGACACTCATTGGTGAATTGGCCAACGAGTTGCCGACCCAGAGATAAAGGGGGGCTGGGTATCTTAGACTTAGAACGTTTTGCTCGGGCTCTAAGGTTGCGATGGTTATGGTTTAAATGGAAACATAAGAACCGAGCGTGGAATGGTCTTGAAGTACCTTGCCATAGGCAAGACCACGATATGTTTGCTGCTTCCACGGTGGTGACCATAGGAGATAGGAAAACGGCATGGTTTTGGACGTCATCGTGGATCCAAGGAACAACTCCACGAAGCCTAGCACCGACTCTTTTACAGAAGGCAAAGAAGAAGAAAAATTTCGGTCCAAAAAGCGCTACAGGAAGACCGTTGGATATCACATATCCTACCCCTTTAAACACCACAAGAAATACAAGAATATGTCCATCTTTGGGAGCGGGTAAATGGAACTCGGCTAGAGGAAAACAGAGAAGACACCGTACATTGGCGATGGATGACAGATGGGGAATATACAACAAAGAGTGCATACTGTGTTCAATTTGAAGGCAGTTTTATGCCTATTTGGAGAGCAGGGGCGGAGCCTAAATGTGTTTTTTTTCGCTTGGACACTTCTCCATAAGAAAATGCTCACCGTGAACGAACAATTTGACCCGATTTGCAAACTCTGCGGGATCCACCCAGAAACATCAACCCACCTGTGCAAAGATTGCTCCTTCTCAAAGGAAGTTTGGTGCTTTCTAAAACAGTGGCTAAATCTTCCTGTGCTTGACTCAGTGAGAATGACGAGGTCTCTACACAGCTACTAGCGTAGATGTCGCGCCAAGTTTGATAGGGGACAAAGGAAAAGGATAGATGGAGTCATGATCTTGGAATGTTTGGAAGAAACGGAATAGAAGAACTTTTCAACAAAAATCCTTACAACCAAGATAAGGAGCCCTATTGTGCAAAGATGACATCCAACTATGTCAAATGGCAACAAGACCTTTCGCCGGCGAGGAGTAACAACACGCGATGGATGAGGTTGGTAGTTTTGGAGATGCTTCTGTTTTTAGTTAAAGTCGCTCATTACAGTGGGGTAGTAGTAGCAACCGGCCTGAGCAACATGGTAGCAAGGAGATTAGTCTCGATTCTCACCTTTGTATTTACTGTTTTTTTCTTCTTTCCATCGTCTAATAAAATCTCGGCAAAGCTTTTGCAGCCTTTCTTAAAAAAAGATGCCCGTCAGCCGGCGCATCGGCGTGGTTTTTATTCGGACACGGTGATGGATCGCATCAAACCCACCCGAGAGACTTGTTCAAAACACACGACTCTTTGAGGACCCAGAATAATCCAACTCACAACACAGACCACACACATAGCACTGGACTCCGCCGGCCGTTCTGGACGAAGCAAAACGGGGCTTATTGCTACACACAGTACGTACCGACTCGACACCGACACGATACACTTGACACACGGTATGATACGGATCACGGACGCGGCGTGGCCGTGCATTACGCGGGGGAGGAGGATGGCGTACGTGACTCGGGCAGACAATGTCTCGCGCTTGCCCGTGCGCGTCAGCGGCGGAAGCTGCGCTGCGTGCGCGGCGTCTCGCCGTTCTCGTCCCTGAGCTTCACCGCCGTGTACACGCCGGCCCCCGCCAACGCGCCCAGCGTCGGGGCCAGCAGGTAGATCCACAGCTGCCGGTAGTTCCCCGCCGCCACCGCCGGACCCAGCGTCCTCACCGGGTTCATGGACCCGCCCGTCGTCGGCCTGCCCAGACACACACACACACGCCGTGGCGCGCTCATCAGATCAGGTCAGTTCAACCATGCATGCATGTTGATCATGACCTCTACTACTGCATAAGCAAGGAGACTTACCCGGCGACGAGGATGTTCAGCGTTACGGCCGCTCCGACTGCGATTCCGGCGAGTTCACCCACCTGCATGAAAGAACAGAGGGCAGACCAATTCAGAGCTGAACCTGAATCGACGGTGAATGCAAGCAAGCATCATGTATATCCGAGAGTGCATGCATGCGTACGTACGGCGCGTGTGTCTGTGGCGACGGCGGTAACGACGAAGAGGAGGTTGAATGAGATGATGAACTCGGTGAAGAAGGCCTGGGCAGTGGAGATGGTGACGTCGGGCACGGTGACGCCGCCGGAGAGGAACGGGTGGAAGACGCCCTTGAGCGCGAAGCTGGCGCAGATGGAGCCCAGCACCTGGACGGCCACGTACGCGGGCACCTGCAGCCAGGGGAAGTGGCGCAGCGCCGCGAACGCGATGGTGAGCGACGGGTTGAGGTGCGCCCCGGAGATGTGGCCCGTCGACAGGATGATGATGGTCACCGCCAGCCCCGCGCACGCCGCGTTCCCGAAGGGACTGATCGCGCCGCCGTACTTCTGGTTCACGATCGGCGCCGCCGTCGCGAAGAAGATGAGGATGAACGTGCCCACGAACTCGGCGCCCAGCTGCATGCGGCCACCACACGCGACATGCGTGCCCATCATCAGATACAGTAGGAACTAGCACACTGTTTCCAAATTCCAATGCGCGTGCGTGTGTGTTTTTCTTTACAGATTTTATTTGAATTTTGTTCGTTCAAAACAACACGCATAATCTAGCTACTAGAATTGACCAAAACAACATCCAATTGAACAGACATTATTTTTATTGTTTATTTATTCAGCCGCAATTTTTCAGAAACTACACCAATATTTGTTTATAGCCGCGGGCCAATAATTCAGCGATCTTGTCAACCCATGGACAGATTGGGATTGGAATGGACGTGACCGGCGCGCGAGAGAGAGCTAAACAACGCATGCAACCACTCCGGTCACGGACGCCTGGATCCATCTAGCTGATAAGCCCTTTTTGACGTGTCACGTCCAAGAACCGTACCTTATCACGAAATAAGCGCGTGTTCAGGCGGCCTCACAATCTTAAAAAGACTCCAAAAAGTAGCTGAGACTGATAAGCCGAATTTTGCGTGTCACGTCCAAGAACCGCACCTTATCACGAAAAAAGCGCGTGTTGCATTTACACCCCAAAATTGAAAAAAGTTTTGCTCTAATTGACTGCCACATCGAATGTTTTGCGGTCAAATGCATGGAGCATTAAATGTAGACCCAAAAAAACTTCCTAGAATTACACATGGCTTTGGTGGAAAATTACGAGATGAACGTTTTGAGCCTAATTAGTAAATATGATTGAATACTAATTGCCTAATAAAACTAAAAAAAGCGCTCATCGAGATCTAGCCCCAAATTCCAACTTTAATTCCGAACTAAATTTGACGGCCTCTAATATCCGTTAAATCTGCGGAAGTGAAAATAAAAGTCAAAATGTCAAGATCTACAACTTTTTAGTTTTGAGTTTTTTCATTTGAAGTCGTTAAGATGCTCAAAAAAATAATGACATATTTAGACATAAGGGTATTTTTGACTTTTCACACCTGCAGTTTGACGGTGCTAGAGCCCAAACTGACGGCAGTGGCATGGAGGACACAAAAAAGTTAGAGCAGTGGCGTTGAAGATCACTGGACTTTTTCAAAGATACGTAGAGCATTGCGATCTTTTTTAACAGCATTCAAGGAATTCCCCAATCACGGAACCCAAATCAAGCAATTCGGACTTGATCAACCCAATACAAAATTCAAACAAGCGTATATATCATTTCCCGGGAGTGGTTATACCTGGAGAGCACAGGAAACAAGCTGGATGGCGGTTGGTTAGGGGACACGATGGCGTGGCGTCGCACACGCCTACCCCCGGCCCGTTTCGTACGTGTGGTGTGGTGTGGTGTGGTCGCACAGGGTGGGCGCCGCCTAGCCAAGCCAAAAATTCCAGCCAGTTGGGGTGTACTTGCAGGCTCACAACAGCGATCGAGCGTGATGCAGTGCAGGCTGCAGGCGGCGTGGAGATCGATCAGCCATCACACCTAGCCCTGGGCAAAATTTTTCCGAGAAAACGAGAACCGAACAGAAAAAACCGAGAACTGAATAGAATTTATCGAGAACCGAAGTCTAGGTTCCCTATTCGATTTTTATTTCCAAGGAACCGAAATTTGTTCGGTAAAATTGGTTCCCCCATCGGTTAACCGAACTAACCGAAATTTGCTGCTTTGCTGATTGTCTTGCTGATTGGCGATTGCCTGGTCACCTGGATGGCTGGATGTATTTTAGTATTTGTGTTGTGCTGTGCTAGTGTAGTAGTGTGCTGTCTTAGTGTCTTGCACTCTTGCTGAATGCTGATGCCTTGCTTTAGAAGTTAGCACTCTATTGAATATGTTGTTACATGGATTTTGGGTACTGTTTGGTTTTTCGGTTCTACTCGGAACCGAACCGAAAGAACCGATACCAAACTTGGTCGGTTTCATATTTTTTGAAGAACCAATCGGTACTGGTTTTCTGAGAACCGAACTTCTTCACAAACCGAAAAACCGATCGGTTCAGTTCGGTAGAACTGAACGCCCAGGGCTAATCACACCCAGCTAATTCTAGTTCTAGGTACAGTATTCGCTAGTGGTTTTTAGTGGCGTTTTCTTCTCATGTCGTTGTTACCAGCATACATGCTAGCAAGGTGATCCGCAAAATTTGCTCGTACTAGAGTTGATAATGGTAAATGATTTTTTTAGATTCATGTGTGCTTGTTGACGAAAGATTCCTATCTACTAGATGCCTGAACAAGGCGTTCTTCCTGGCCGCCTGCATCAGATCCAACGTCTTCGCTCGTCGGTTTCTAGCCGCCGCTAATCCCAAAGCAAATTATTCTGGCTTGCAAAGCTACTGTACTGCACTACCACTAGCAATTGGTAGATACGAATCTTTCGTCAAAATACAAATTATTCTGGCTTGCAAAGCTACTGCACTACCACCACCAAAGTAAAATTATACAGTAGCCGAGGGATGCTAGTACGTTCATAGTCAATTGGTACTTCCCGCTATTCCAAATTATAATTTATATAAGTCAGTTCTAGCTTAGACACAATATAAATAAAGCTATGCACCTAGAATAAAACCGAGGGAGAAGCATGCATGATCGATCACCATTCAGGCATTCACCACTACTTATTCCAACCGAAACTGCTGAAACCATGCATGTTAGTGTGTGATCGAGCTCTTTTGTCTCATACAGTTGGCCTGACCACTTGTAAGCCTTAGTTTACAGGGCACCAAATAAAGAACTAGCTGGTGCACAAGCAGCTAAAAAGATTCTGAATTGATTTGTCCTACGGACTTACGGAGCACAAGCACAACTGCTTCCAGTTCAAAGTGTCCCTCATCAGCATGCAAAACCGAGAGGTTTCAAGAACGATGTAAAGAGCCAAATTGAGCAGTATATACAAGATCACAGAAATTATCAGTGATTAATTAGCTACTGTAACAGGCGCCCCCATACTAATAGTAATGCCTAGAGTTTGAAGCTTTGGCTGCAACAGGGATCAATTTTCAACAGTCAACAACTTATGACATCGATCGCGCCTACATTTTTTTATATATAAAAGAAAGTAGTACTGTCAGGCCCGTGTTGTTACAGGCTTTCAGACACATGACTGTTGTAACGTTAGTTTTGACCTACACAGTATAAAATATGAGGATGCATGTCTGTACCCTCAACTAATAATAATAGCAGATTATACAAACACAAAAATAATGTCAAAGAACCGACGTATTGGATATATAAGAAAATAAACCGTGCAGGCAGAAAAAAAAAGAGAGAAAGTATCACACGGAGAGAGACGAAATGGCCGATGGCCCTTTCAAGAACGAGAAGAAGAAAGAAGAAATGCGAGTTCAAGAACGTGCATGTGCACGCGCATGTGGACGGTGGCGTACCTTGCGGGTGAGCGAGACGTCCGGCGCGGGGATCTCGACGACGCAGGTGTGCGTCGCAATGCCCCACCCCTCCACCGCCGGCAGGCACTTGCACCGCGGCATCGACTTGCGCTCGTACGACAGCGAATCCACCCGCGGCCCGCCGGAGAACAGCGGTGCCGGCGTACCGGGCGTCGCCGGCGCGGACCCGTTCGGGGGCGTCGACCCCGGCTCCGCCATTGCTGCTAGCTGTGCTTTCCTCTCACTCTCAAAGACAATCTTTTTTTTTGGTTTTTTTTACTGCCGGCAGTGCAGCAGAAAAAGGACACGGGAGTATTAATTACATGATTTGATGGTTTTTGCTGAGGTGATGCTACGATAATGGCCGGATGGGCTCCAGCAGGCCGATCGCTAGACTACGACTGATGTATGGCTACTACTAGCGATGCATGCTGCTGGATGGTCTTGCTTTTTTTTGTTTTTTTTTCAGCTGGGCGGCGAGCAAAGATGATGGCGAAATTTACATGATCCGGAGGCTTTTGTTGAGTTTGTGCTAAGGAATTAGTGGGGACGTATCCAGCCTACCAACTTACGCCTCGCTTTGCAACGCCGATGCTTTTGGAGATCTTGGAAGTGGCTTTTTTTGTGATTTTTTTGGGGCTTGGGTTTGGATTTTTGACAGGAACTGGACTTACATGCTCCACAGGTTTTTCTCCAGGTTTGGCTACGGCGTAATGGGTGGGGAGATGGTGTCCAGCTCTCTCACAAGAACAGTCTCTTTGGCTTACTAGGATTGGGAGAATGGAGAGAGACGCATGCGGACGAGCTAGCAGCAAGAACTGCGAGCAACAGATGCAACAATGGAGAATGCAAGAACGGTGGCGAGGTGACGAGAGGAGGAAGAAGCAAATGGAAATGGGCAGGTGGGTGATGATGGGTTTGGAGGGCGAGATGGTGTATTGGTGTGGGTGCGTGGGGCTGTGTATATAGGCTGCGAACGCACATGAGGGGGATGGATCGAGGTCAATGGCATCCCTCCACTTGAGGCAGCATCTCCCAACTGCTCTCGACAGAGCCTGTTAATCAGATTGATTTATGGACTGATAAGTTCGGACGGTGGTGGTTTAATGTGAGAGAAAAATATTATATCATATCAGATAAGTTCTAACTAAAACCAACCAAACGAAGAGGTTAAATAATGCAAACTAAAATATAGCAGTGGAAATGGAACAGCATCATCTCAGTTAAGGAGTGCTTCGAAGTAGCTTGTTTAAGCAAAGCTTGTGACAAAATAAACGGCGGATAAGCTAGCTGTCCGGAATATTTACAGTAGTACGCTCTGTGTGCTGGGGTCAGATCTTTTTTTTTTTTTTGAAAGCAGATGGCAGGAGGTCAGAATAATTTGAATAAGAATTCCGAATGAACTAATACTGAGAACCCTGCGAAATTCTTCGCACCAATAAGGTGCCAAATTTTAATAGCATTGACAAGGTTTGACACCTCATCAGATATTGTTCTCTTCTTGGAAAAATAAATTATCTCAAAAACAAGAAAAAATACCTAAATGTTGGCAGCCTGTTCGCTTGCTCGTATATGATCGTGGATTATAAGCTGGAACAATATTTTTCTCTCACACTAAATCAGCCAGCAGTAAATAATCCACGATTGTTTACGACCTGCCCGACAGGCTACTTAGTGTAAATTATTGATAGTGGGCTAGCTTCATAGTTTTTTTTTTCCTGAAAGTCTGCTTTCCCATGCAAACATGATACCCTACTAGGAAGAGTGGAAGAGGAGCCTAACTAGCAGAACGATTTGAATACGCCGGTGCCTTATTTTCTTGACCGCATGGGCTCATCGCTAATTCACTATTCTATTAGTTCAGGGACTAGCTCTAAGCCAATATCTCTAATAATATTAGCTTTTAACAATGGCTTAGGCCTCATGACATTTTCACACATTCTTGTAACGTGTGTATGCCTATCTCTTAATTAAGAGGTAGTTTTTTCTCTCATTTCTATTAAAATATAAAAAAATCCTTAAAGCTAGGTTATGAGTCAGCAATTGCGGGCGTCAACGGAGCGAAGTACCCGGCCTTTGTTAGCACATTGGGCTCATGTGCAATAATGGAAGAAGATGCACGGGATATATTTTTCTGGGAGAAATAATAGAAGATGATCTCATGGCATGGAAAGTAGGAACTAGGGCCTTGTTTTTTTCACTCTCTCTATCATATTAAATCTTTAGACACATGCATGTAATATTAAATGTAGATAAAAAAATAACTAATTACACAATTTGATTGTAAATTACGAGACGAATCTTTTGAGCCTACTTAGGCCATGATTAAACAATAATTACCAAATACAAACGAAAATACTATAATATCAAATACTAATTCCTAACAGCTATCTAAAGAAGCCCCAGGAACAAGCCCATCCGAAGATTCCGAACATCAAGAACGTACTTGTAAAATTTCGTTTGTCAGGCTGTCGATCAGCGTACACCTGACCGAGTAACAAACCATCCAGTGCCACTACTAGTGTCCTGTAGATTTTGAGCCCCACTTCCTCCACTTGATCCGGACATTTTCCGTGCGGTGTGGTAGTCTTGCAGGTGTACTGTAGCTGTACCTGTACCTGTACCTGCACTGACTGATCCATGCTAGCCAGGTGCACTCGCCCGTGTTTAGTTTGAACCCTAAATTCCTAAAAAGTGTTACAGTAGCCATCACATCGAATCTTGCAATACGTGCATGGAGCATTAAATGTAGACGAAAAAAAACTAATTGCACAGTTTGGTTGAAAATCGCGAGACAAACGTTTTGAACCTAATTAGTCTATAATTGAACACTAATTGCCAAATAAAAACGAAAGTGCTACACTGGCCCGAATTCCAAAATTCGGCCAACTAAACACAGGCTTGCTTTGCAATCCTGTGGTTCTGAACTCTGTGGTCGGCCGGGTCAGACCCGCTGTGTTCTCGCATTGTCCACATGTTCAGTCCGGCTCCATTCTCGATCCAAGCTTCCGAGCTGAGCACACCGACATGGTCGTGAATTGAATTCAGCTAGGACCCACCGATGGAAACCTGCATTCATGGCTGATGAGCGCCGGTGCTAGTCACGGGAGATGCATGCTCAGCTTCTGGCTAGTTTGGCAAAACTGCGCAAGCCACGAATGCCGCAGACGCATCCCTCTGTCCCGGTCTGAATTCTGAACGCAGAAAGCGTCCAGTTTGATCAGCAGTAGCTTGTAGCTATGCTCCTATGCCAAAGCAAAGCAAACGCCACGTCTGGTCTGATGTCTCCTTGCCAGCACCAATCATTCATTCATCCCGTGGTTACTCGCAAAGTAAACTAAAAGCCCCTCGATTATTAAACCAAACCCTGCCAGAAAAAAAGATCGCTATGGCTGGAGAAATGGAGAATCAAAGATGCGTCGTAGTTGGTAAAGCGGCCGGCCTGATTCGCCACAGCTTGTCCTCGAGGATTTTTTTTAATTTTAACACTTTTTAAAAACTAATTTTAAATTTAACACTATCTATTTTTTTAAACTAACACTTTTGGCCACGCCTATTTTCATGGCGCGGCCAAAAGCCTGTGCTGCGCCATGCACGGTGGTGCGGCAGCGGGCTGACGTGGCAATGACCGGAATCGTTGACCGGTGACGTGGCAGGGCTTGCCGCGCCACCGAACTTTGCGCTTGGCAGATTGCGCGCCCGATCCGCGGGCGCGGCAGAATAAATAAAACCCCCCTCGGCCACCCCCTGCGAAAAGAAAGCAAGCAGAAGGCCCGTCGGCGCCGCCGCTTGCGCCGCACACGCCGTCCTTCCCGTACAACACGCGGCGAAGCACGACGCCGCCGGCCGCGCCATTTAACGCTGCCATGACGCGGCACGCCCACCGCCAGACGCCCGGCGCCGCGCCTGGCGCTGCCCACGAACGCGCAGCGCGACGGCCGCCCGCTACGTCGCGCACGCCACACCCGGCCACACGGTGGCTCGCTCACGAGGCTGCGCCCGCCGCCCCCGGTCCGGTCTAGCGCGCCACCGCCGCAAGGACGAGCGCCGCTGCCACGAGGTACTCCCCTCATGTAGTTAGTATAGTTAATAAAGTTAGTAAAATTAGTAAAGTATAGGTAGTATAGTTAGTAAAATTAGTTAGTTTAGTTAGTATATGTAATATAGTAAGTTAGTATAGATAGTAAAGTTAGGTAGTTTAGTTAGTACAGTTATTGAGTCTAGTTATATATTGGATTTAATCTAATTAGTTGTTGTAGTTAGCCTTGTATAGATGCTAATATTATATTTGTTAGTATAGTTATAGTTAGAATATGTATTAATATTACTATAGACATTACGTACGATGATTTCGACGACTTGATGAAGTTTGTTGACATGCTTTTGCAGATAGATTGTTGTGTTAGAGTTTTATACGGAGGAAGTGTTAGGAGAGAAGATGTTATGTTTGAGAATATGGAAGAAGAATTGGAATGGTTTGATGAACCTCTTAGCTTCAACGACCTTTGTGTCCGTTTGAATGCAAAGTTTGGTGGTGATTTCATACTAAAAGGGAGGTTTGATACTAGGAAGACTAGGGCACACTGTGTCCTCATGCCCTTGCGCGACCCTGCTCACTGGTCCCGCTACACTAGGGTTCTCTAAGGTTTCAATGTGCACATGGCTGAGGTGGTGGTGGAGAATAGGTACAGGATGCGGGGTATTCAAGACGGCCCGTCCATTTATAGTTTTGGAGGCAATGAATAAGAATTAGGGGTCAAAGGGGAAGCAACTTAGGATAACATGGATTTGGATGGTCAATTGACGCAGGAGCGGTTTCATTCAACTGCAGTAGGCTGTATAAGCAATGACTTCGATGTGAATGAGTTCGAACGGGAAGAGGAGGAGAAGGAGGAGGAGGACATGATCGGTGATATAGTTAGTAGTGATTCAGACGATTCTGATGATGACCAAGGAGGTACAGATGCTATGCCAACATCGACTGATGCCATGCTAGTATCGGTTCATACTATGCCATTACCAGTACCAACTGAGGTTTTGCATGGTGTCTAGGCTCATGGTAGACTAGTCATAGATTTGGCTGCAGATGATACCCCCTATAATTCATGGGCCAGAATTAGCGAAGCACAGCAGTATGTTCCACCACCACCTTACACAGCGACTGAGCTTGAGCAACTAAGGTCCAAGAACGTACCTTTTAGGGGCGTTCTGAACTATAG